GGTGTGAAATGCGTCTGCTGTCCTCTCAGCTAGACTTTCAGAACTAACCAGTGGGAGGCATGTGGGTGCTTCTACATCACATCTAGATGTCAGCGGTTATCACCGTCATTTCCCCTGAAGCACCTCAGTGCTAAACCAGAGCTGGCCCCAGCTCAGCCTTCTTCGCGACTCTGACTAAGGGAGTTATATAAAAAAAAAGTAAACATTTTTGTAACTTATGAATGAATTGAGTGCTAGTTCTCTAGAAGTTCCTTTTATCCTCAAAGTCCAACATAGTATCCTTCGTATTGTAGCTGTCGCCTAGTTTGCCTCTAACAGGAGACCCAGTTGTTACCCAAGGATGCAGGCCCTTCGCTGTTCACGCATGTCATGGGGGCCGTAAAGACCGCAGCCCCCATGACTCACGGCTCCACAGTCAGACAGCAGAGGGGTGCTTACAGTCCAAGACGTCCTAGAGCCAAGTGCCTTAGCCACGTGCCTCAGAGTTGTGTCTGTGACATGGTTCACACACACACACACATACCCCATCCTTCCACCAGGTACCACAGAGAATTAAAGCCTCACTGAATAAGTATTTTCACCCTCAAATATTTGGAAAGACTTGGATGGTGAATTCAGAGTTTATTAGTCATTTCTATATTATTTGAAATTCATTGCTTTATGTGTTTCTGGGATGGATAAACCGAAATTCTTATGGTAATGCCATATTTGCTATCAGTATCTGCAGTTAAGTCCTTGTAGACTCCAATGGGACTGTGTCCCTCCACTCAAATTGGGCTTATCCCTACTTGCTGGAAAATATCATCTTCTAAGAGTAAACGTGACCAGCGCTGGAAAGTCTGAACCACCCCCCCNAAAGTTCCTACAAATCACTAAGAAAGCCAGATATCTCAGTTAAAACGAGGCAGAAGACTTGCACATGCACTTCACATAAGAAATATAAATGGTCAAAAACATTAATGTACAGTAGTCTCCCTTTATCCATGGTTTGCTTTCTGTGGTTTCAGTCAACCATGGTCCAAAAATATTAAATGGAAAATTCCAAAAATAAACAATTCATAACTTTTAAATTGAGCGCCATTTTGAGTAGTGTGCTGAAATCATGTGCCACCCTGCTCCATCCCACCCAGGAAGTGAGTCGTCCTTTTGCCCAGCGTCTCCCCATTGTATCTGCTGCCTGCCCGTTAGTCACTCAGCAGCCATCTCCATGATCAGATTGACTATCTCAACATCACAGTGCTTGTGTTCAAGTCACCCTTATTTTATTTAATAATGGCCCGAAAGTGCAAGAGTAGTGATGCTGTCAATTTGGATGTGTCAAAGAGAAGCCGTTAACTGCTTCATTTAAGTGAAAAGGTATGCATGTGTGCATGTACCTATGTATGTATAGGAAGAACTATAGTGTATATCGATAGTATATAGTTTGGTACTATCTGATTTCAGGCATCCACTGGGTACATATCCCCTTTGGATAAAGGGAGGGACAACTGTATATCCAAACTAAACTCTGAAGTAAAACCACTGAGTTACCATTTCACACCTACCAGACTGACAGAAAAATTAAAAGTTCTCACAACACACACACACACACACACACACACACACACACACAAAGTTTTCACCATACTAAGTGTTGACTAAAGTTTTGAGCAAGAGAACTCTCGTGCACTGCTGGTGGCAGTGTAAATTAGTTTATCTGTTTTAGAAACACTCTGGTATTATAAAATTGAAGATCCATATACACTACAACTAGCAGTTCTCCCAGGTATTTACCCTGGAGCACCTCTTACCCATGTGTACCAGAATGCACATATATGATCGCTCACAATAGCATCTGTATCTATAA